ATGACTGATCGTAAATCGAGTGTGCCTACCACAGACACTAAAGCCGCACCCACAATATCTCCTAAAATTAAAATTAAATCACAATAGTATGGGGAAAATTACATTAATAGCGCGTGACACGCTAGTTATTTATTAAACCCATCGTTTCGGTCTTGCGGACGCTCAAGACTCCGCCTTTGTACATTAACTAAGCGGAATGCACTCCTAACCTTACCAGTAGCCCCCTTCCTCCTCAATCGGTCTTTCTTTCCTATCAGCAATGAATTATCTATTCTTGTACTATGGCTGCCTTCTACTTAAGGGAGGATTGGTGGCAGCAAAAAACGAACCATTTCATAGTCTGCATTTGAATACAAAACATTCGCTTAGCAAAAGATGGAAATTTGCTACTGATGGAAAAATCCGTGATGGCCCCTAAAATGAAGGCTGAAGATAATGCAGAACTTCGTCAACAATCCCAGTTCCGTGTTCAAAAGTAATGTAATTACAAATGAAATGACACAAGCCAAAGGCCATCAGAAAAGAGCCATCTACGAAACCTGTATAGTGTCGATTAAGCGGGCAAGTGATACCCTCTCTGGCATTCTACGTAATGGATAAGATTCAAATAGATATGTCTGGCCAGCACTGAAGTGGAAATAAATTGGCAAGGAAAAGCAGGCATGAAACCCAGTACCCGCAAAAATATTTCAAATTTCAGCCTTTATTTAAACACTGCATTTCGGCCGGTGTACTGACGACGAGTGATGGATATAAGTCTAATACGAAGGTGGTTTAACCCTCAGTATTGGTGAGGCACCACTTTTGGACTGTTGAATTTGCCTTCTTGTACCACTCTGGGTGGGCCGGCTTTCGGGCCTTGCCAGAAGCCCAAACACCTTCTCTGTGCTGAATATATATATTCTGCCCGAGTATTGTGCCTTCTTTCGTCTTTAGGGAAGCCTTGGGACGCTACATAAGCAGTGGCCAGCGCACTCACATCTCTCCCAATAAACTTGCTAAAGAGGACTGAATTCCAGGTCTAGCAAAGTCCAAAAGAATATTCGGTAACTCTGTAGTGGGATTTCTACTTTGCTGCACGTAACTTTGATCGTCCCATGGGGTACTTCCTAAAGCATGGAGAATATTAGTGCGACTGAAGTGAAATACTGACCAGTGGAAGCGCTAAGAATGCCACTTGAGAGAAGAGGGAGAATATTTAGTGCTTTGATTAGCTTCAAACTGTTTTGATTTCAAGAACGCAGAAAAAAAATCGATGACGACACAATCAAGTACTTTTGCATTTGCACAAAAATTTTATGACTGGAGTAATTGACTTCTGGATGTTTTCTTTCCGCACTAATTACATTGAGGTGGCTGATACGGGCGGTTAAACAAAGGAAGCGCCGTGGCCGATCCAAAAAGCAAAGGGGAGGCTACGCAATATGCTGCGTAATTACTTAAGTTTTAAAAAAAACCAAAGTGTCTTTTTTGGTTCCTGAGCCATGTCAGTAGCCACTGATCCTACTGCTCGATAAATGTGTATGTAGGGGAGTGAAATTTCGTCTTACCATTCCAAAACACTCTAAGACAAAAAAAAACAAAAAACAAAAGTGATCCATACTTTTACTTGATTAGTCATTTACAATCACACAG